TGCTGTCAGCACAGCTTTTCAAAATCCATCCTTCCTGCTGGCAGGGAGCAGGAGGGAGGTCATCTCCCTGGAGCCTGGCTGCCAACTGCAGCCTTTGTGCCCAGAGCTGGGCCTGCGATGGGAAGAGTCCATCAGCTCTCTGATGGAATGGCTGCTCCTTCCCCCTAACACTTTCCCTGTGCCCAAAAATCCAAGAAGTGCCTCCATAAGCCACTAAGGACAATAAATACCTGCAGAGAGGTGTTGATTCTGGTGTGATGGGGCTGCTCTCCCAGGAGAACTCGAGATGTTCTTTCCTTGCTCAGCGCCTGGCACTGTACCCATGAGAGGACAGAACAGTCCTTATAAGCAGTCAGCCAGGAGTGGGAATGTGGGGGCTGCTCTCCCTGTTTAAGACAACAGGGTTATCATTCCCTAAAAAGAGGGGACACCTGCCTTCTCCACACTTCATGGTACATCCATGAGATCCCAACCAGCAGCATCCATACCAAGGCTGTCTTCTCTGACGCTTTACTTGCCTGCAAAATTCTTCCCGTGTTTTTCCATATTTTATAGCAACAGCTTCTCTGCTTTGCCTTTTGATGTCAAATTTCTCCTGTGAAACAGCTGGTTTGTCACCACCTCAGACCAGGGAGAAGCACACATTTGGATTTCTGCTGTGAAGTGCCGGGGTTTTTACAGTCGTTGCGTAGCACTTTAAAGCCCCACGGGGCAGGAGATGGAGCAGGAGGGAGCTGTGTCCCTGCACATCTTTTACTAACAGGACAAAAGGCCTTTTACTAACTGTAATAAATTGGTTTGACGCTTCACACCCGACTTCCTGTGAGTTTGTGAGATGAAGAGCAGGAGGGGATGCTCTGAAGGGCTCTGCTGGCAGTGACACAGAGAGACTGAGGACACTGGTGTCAGGAAGAGGTGACAGGATTTGGGGACAGATTCCAGACCTCGTTTTGGAGCAAGCATGGGTCCTGTTCCAGAGGATGCCCACCACAGCAAGTCCTCCTGTTGGTGGTTGGATGCCCAGGATGAAGACTGGGAAGGTGGTTCCCGAGGCAGCTGAGCTGTGGAAGTCAGGGTACCTGGCCCTGGCTCACGCCTCTGTCCCTTTTGGGGACAAACAGGAAGCTTTTGGGACAGAACAGCCCTTTCCACACCCTTTCTATGCTGCCTTTTCCACAGGAGGCCCCCAAGGGCTCTGCTGTGGCACTCCATGAACTCCCCTCGCTTTCGCAGCTTTCCTGCTTTCCCAGCTCCAGCTCTTACAGCCCAGGTATGTGAAACACGTTGAAAATACTCAGAGCTTTGGGCAGTGGAGCTCAGCCAGTCCCTTTTCCACCCAAATGAAGGCAATGCTGTTCTAAAGGAGGTTATTTGTGTTCAGAGAGCTCATCCTTTGCGTCCTATCAGTGCCAACCCCATTTATCCCCTTCCTCCACTCACCCAAAAGGATATTAAAACACACCAACTAAATCTGACCGATCCCTTTGTCCCGTTTCCACCCTGGCGATCTGGATTCAGAGAATTCTCAGGGAAATCACCCCACCTTTGTGGGAGGTCGGTGGCTGATCCCTCTGGTATCGAGTTAATGCCCGAGGATTGTGGTGAGCTGGGATTACCCTGGGGCAAGTGAGGAGCACTGCAGGTCGCTGGGCTGCAGTGCCAGGCTTGGCCACACTTGGGCCAGACAACAATTAACATTCCACCGGGGAACCTCTGTCCTGTTACAACCGGGAGACTCTTTTCCTCTTGGATTTCGATCCTTGTTAGTCGTTGCTTACCCTCTTCTTCACGGTCACCTCAGTTTTTCTGCTGCCTGGGTGCTTCCTGCTGTGGTTGATAAATGTGGGGTCAGGGTCTGAAGAGCGGGATGCACAGTATTGGAATTGTGTTGGGATATAAAGAGGCACTGTGGATTGTGAGATAACAGGGAGAAACTCTTCCTTGTAAGGGTGGTGAGGCCCTGGCATAGGTTGCTCCGAGAAGCTGTGGCTGCCCCTGGATCCCTGGAAGTGTCCAAGGCTGGGTTGGATGGGGCTTGGAGCAACCAGGGATAGTGGAAAGTGCCTGTGCCCATGGCAGGGGGTTGGAATGGGGTTCAGGCCATGGTGGGTGTCAGACCCCCCGCATCTGTATTTGCCTCGTCATCTGCATATGCAAATCATATTCAAATCACCCCCTGCGCGCGGCCAAGCCCAGCTGGGCCTACTGCGGATCTTCCCCTCGGCCCCCCGCGTTGCCATAGTTACCGGGCATGTCAGTCACCGCGCCTCCTCCCGCCCCGACCAGGCAGCGCCCTCATTCATTGGACCGATGCTGTTGCCAATCTCTCCCAAAGCGGAGCCATAGGCCAGCGCTGCCGCATATCGACCCGCCCCCGCTGGCGCAACCCGGCTTTCCCCCCATTGGACAGCCGCGCTTGTCACTATACGCGGTCCGAGCGCGGGGCTCCGACATCGCCCCATTCCCGTCTCCATTGGCCGGAGCCGCCTGTCGCTCCGCGCGGCGGGGGGCGCGGATTGGGGGCCGCCTCACGGTGTCCCGCCCCGCGGTGGCCGCGCGGGGCGCAGGCGCGCGGGCGTGGCTGCGGCGGCGGCGGAGCGGGAGCGGGCAGGAGCGGGAGCGCGTGAGCGGGGCGGGCGGCCCATGGGGCCGGGCCGCGCTGCCCATGGAGGCCGCCGCGCAGCTGCGGCGATGTGCGGAGCGAGGAGGAAGAAGCGCGGCGGCGGGGCGGCGGAGCGGACGCGGGGCCGCTACTCAGCTGCGGCGGCGGAGCAGCGGCGCTGCGGACGGTTGCGGGCGGAGTGCCGGCCGCAGCCCCGCGAGCCGCGGCGGGTCGTGAGCCGCGCGCCGGCGGGGGACTCGTCCGCAAGACCGCCCGCGTGATGGAGGGCGGAATGGGGGGGGGGGTTGGGCGGGAGGGGCGGGGGCGGGCATTGACTGGTGGGCGGAGGCTGTGGTAATTGAGCGAGGGGCGGGCTGCGGGGCGGCGAAGGGTGGGGATGGGGACACTGGACAGCACGGCGGGGCTGGTGGCAGGACACGGCGTGGCCGGGCAGGGGGACAGCACGTGGGGACTACCGGGGAGGGTGGCTTGTCCAGCGTGGCCAGTTTGGGGTGGTGGCATGGGGACATGAGCAACCTCGGGACAGCACAGTGGGGTAGTGGCGTGGGCACAGCATGGCCAGTCTGGGGACGACACCCTAGGAACATGGTGAGGTGATGACTTATCTGGCATGGCCAGTTTGGGGACTCAGTGCGGTGGTGACATGGGCACAACATGACCAGTGTGGGGACAGCACGGTGGGGACACAGTAGGGTGATGACTTGCCCAGCATGACCAGTTTGGGGACAGCACAGTGGGGTGGTGGCATGGGGACACCATGACCACAGCGGGGACAGTGCAGGGGGGCTGATGGTTATGGGCACAACATAACTAACTGGGGGCAGTACGGGGGGACACAGTAGTAGTGGGGTGATGACTTGGCCCCAGCATGGCCAGTTTGGGGACAGCACAGTGGGGTGGTGGCAGGGGCACGACATGGCCACTCTGGGACAGCACAGGGGGGACACAGTGGGACAGTGACATGGGCTCAGCAGGTTGGGGCAGAGGGTGGGTCAAGCTGAGCTCCAGGCACTCTGGGAGTTTTAGGATGAGGCAGTGCCTGGCAAGGTGGGGCAGGACATGGGATGGGGCTGTAGCAGGTGCTGAGATGCCCAAATTGAGTGGGAGGGAAGGTGACTGGTGACACAGAGGGCAAGGAGAAGGGCACAGAAGGACAGACGGAGGGATGGGGTATGAGGGTGTGGGGCTGGACTGGTAACTGGGAAAGCAGATGGAGAGCATAGGGAACGGTGTCATTTTTGGGAGGGAAGAGCCCCAAGGGGTTGGCAGGGGTTGGGCGCAGACCAACCGAGCTTTGTGAGGAGGTAAAAACCATCCCTAAACCCAGGTTTTTAAATGTCCTATTGGAAACTGCAAAATGGATGGCAGCCTTCATTTTGGGAGCAGCAGGAGCTGCCGTGCAGGTGCCGTGGCTGTCACTGCCTTCAGCCATGTTTGAGGAGGAACCGAGCGATTGTTCCTTGACTTTCGCTGGAGCCCTTCCCTCCTCCTGGAAGGGAACTGCCATTCCCTGAAAATGAAACAGCGTCAGTGTAATTCCTCAGTACCTGCACAGCTATTAAGAGGATGTGAGCAATGAATCCAGACTGAAAACAGGGATCAGGATTCTCCTACATCTCGTCTCCTGGCTGACAATGCCGAGACGTTGTTGTTAACGTATCTGTGTGAAGTTTTAATGGTGTTCTTGCTCTTTTTTTGGGTGCTGGCAAAAAAGGAAGCCTCTCTTTTTCCCTGTCTTAGTGTGAAAAATAGGAATAGGGATCTGTGGGGCTGTTAATTAGAGCCCTGCTGGTTAGCAGGCTGCAGGGACATGAAGGAGATGTCTGGTACGAAAATGAGGGAGGACTCAGAGCTCTGCGTTAGGTGATGATTCTCCTCTGCCTTGCTCAGGGCAGTTTCTGTGTCTCCTCTGGAAAATATGGATTAAAGTTGGCCACTGAGGTTCTGGTTTGTTGTGGTGGAGTTAAATGCAGAGAGTGGTGTGGGATGCTTTAAAGAAAACAGGTGTTCTGGCAGCTTCCAAGAGAGGATTTGGATCCCGTCTGGAAGGTCAGTGTGGCGTGACTCGGGATTACAATGTAGCCTGTCCTTCCTAAATGATTCTTGGGATAATTGGAAGAGAAATGTGCGTCCCTTAGCAGGGACAATGCCTGGTGTCAGGGTAAATCACGTTTTGGAGTTAAAATGCTTGATCCCACCTCAAGGAAGACTCGAGCCGAAATGAAGGCAAAGCACTTAATGGGCATGGGATCAAAAATGTCCTACTTAAGCTCGCACTTGTCTGCTGCTGGCATGTGGCAAACGGGCTCAGTGACCTTGAGGCTTGTCTTGCCTGGCTGTGCTGGCAGATGCCCTGGCAGATGAGCCCCCACTTCCCCAGGAATGAAAGGATTTCAGCAGGCTCGTCATCCTCCTTCCTCGCCGTCCCTCTGTGCCGGGATGTGCAGCCAGGGCTGTTTCACTGCGGAGATCAGGGAAGGTCTGAGACCAAGGGGGACTGGGTTTGGGATAGACCCGAAATAAGAAGTGCAGCCCATGTCTCAGTCGTGTGCCTTCATGCACCTCGGGCTTTTAAACCCCCTGGAAATTTGGATTCCCAGTCATGTGGATGCGGCACTTGGGGACACGGTTTAGTGGTGAAGATGCCTGGGTTAATGGCTGGACTCGATGATCTTGGGAGGTCTTTTCCAACCTAAAGGCTTCCATGATTCTGTGAAATGTTTCTTGGTGCACTTCAGGAACTGAAGAGCTTTCCTGCAGCATTTTCCATGTGCCACAGGCGGAAGGGGCAGAAGTCAAGGACACTGTTGCTCTCAGAAGGGAGTGAGAAGTGTCCCTGAAAATGAGGAAATTTGTTGAAGCTTTGGAGTATTATGTTGGCAAGAGGAGCCCGACAGGGTTATTAGTGCAGGCAGACATTAGTTCTCCAAGAAAAAGTATTCTTTCCTTTCAGCTGATCCCTTTTTTTTAATAAGTTTTAGTATCTCCTGTCAGAATCATGCAAAGACAAAATGGACACATGGCTTTAAATTCTCAATGTAAACAGTATCCAAGCAGAGGTACAAATAAAATGCTGTTTTGACACCTCTTTTGTCATTCAAAATTCAAGCTTTGATTTTTTTTAAATACCTTTTTTCCCTTTTGGAATGGTGTAAGAAATATGAATTCCTATCAGAGCCTATTTTTAGGAATGGGAGGAGATGTAGACTTAGTGTCACTTTATATTAAATGCTAATTAATTGTATTTTTTTCCCAGCTGTAGAATTTCCAGCCTGGTATAACACTATTAAAATATAATATTGAATATTTTAGAGTAAGCCTAGAGGTGCTGTCACATACTCAACTAAATCATCAGCTCCATGGGCTAATCTTTTTAGCTCCTGATATAATTGGCTCAGAAGTTAAGGATCACTCTGAAATACAACTTGAGCTGCTTGTTTTGTGAAGAAAATCCACCATGGAGATCTTTAATTATATCACCTCTTTCATTTTGACAGTTCTGCAGCTTCCAGAATAAGTCTGTTGAGGGTTTTTTTTTTTATTTATACAGTGTCCAATTTTATGAAGTAATTTACATATCAGATAAAGGCATTTTCTTTTTCTTGCCCCCAAGATCTTGCAGACTGCAAAGGGGATTTGAGGGCAGGGTGGCAGCTCTTGCTGTGGGCACACAAGTCTCCTTGAGCTTTTCTGTGGTTGTTTAGTCTGAGCTGTGATTCCCCAGCTTTGCTGGCCTTTTGTTTGTTGATGTGTATCCGTAGATCTGCCCCTGAGGAGAAGGTCTGTTTTTAACACAAAGAGCTGTGTATATGAAAATATTTATAGAGAGATGCTTTTAAAATTGTCTGTGCTCAGGGAAATTGAGGCTTTGTCAGGCCAAAGGATGAAGAATTTTTTTCTTGGGGAAAAAAAAACCCCGTCTTCAAGACAGTTGATAGCTGCTGTTGGGATGTGTTTCCTTAGGGAAGGAAGTGAAAATAAGGCTCGTTGTTGTGTGTCTGAGTGGAAGGTGTCCTTGCCCATGGCAGGAGGGTGGAGTGAGATGATCCACAAGGTCCCTTCCAGCCCAAACCATCCCACGATTCCATGTGCTGAGCGGTGCCACGGACTCTGCCGGTCCCGTAAGTCACATTCCTTGTACCCCTGATGTTTTCCCACTGAATACCTTGGATTCATTTTTGTCTTACACACAGAAGAGGTTGCTCCAAGCCCTGTCCAGCCTGGCCTTGAGCACTTCCAGGGATGGGACATCCAAGCTTCTCTGGGCAACGTGTTATCCAGTGTTGAGAGTGGGATTCATGGCTCTCATCCCGTAACAGGGCAACAGGGAGTTTCTTTAAGGAGAAAGACTGTGTAAAGTTTTGAGCTGAGAGCAGAGGCTTTCCTGCCTTTCTTGTAAATGCCCAAACACCCAGTGAACAACTAAACACTTCTCAGGAGGTGCTGGACAGTGATACTCTTCCCATGCCAGCCTGCAGGTTTGCCATCCTTCCCATCCCCGCTTGGAAAGGAGACCTGCAAGGCTCTTCCCCAGCAAGGAGGGCTCCAAATAGCAGCAGGGAGGAGGTGAGGGAGAGGCAGCATTTACATTTCCTGCCTTGGCCATTAAAGCTGCTGTCTGGTTATTCCAGCAGAACCTTCTGACTGAGCACAATCAGCCTGGGGGACGCCCAGGGGCTCCGGGATGCCGCCAGTTCTCCTACTGCTCCTCGAGATCAGCGGCAGCTCTCTTGGAAAAATTGCTTCGGAGGATTAAAAGGGAGAGATCTCTGGATGGCTTTCAGCTGCTGGGGAAAAAAAAAATCAGTGTTTTAAGAGAAATCTCAGTAGCAGATGGTGATGGCGTTCATCCAGGAGAGCTTCCTCCTTCCTCCCTTGGATTTTTCTAGCTCTCAGACATGGAAGAGCTGTCGCTGCCCTCCATGTTGCTGTTGTCTGACTTCCTGTAAGAGTCAGGGAAAAAAAAATGACATGGTTCTCCATGTCGTTGAAATAATTTCCTCCTCTTGTTTGTGTGTCACTCCCCTTTCCTACAAAAACAGGTTTATAGGGAAGTTTTGTCCCTGTCCTGGATTATTTGAGTTCTCTGACAGGTGTTACTGCACAGGGAATCCTTTGCAGGGTGGGACAGAAGTACTTAATTCTGAGCTCACACGCTGCTTCCTTGGATTCTTGACCTGTGGCTGGGATGTATATAATGAGAGATCCATAATTAACAATCATTTGGTGTGAGTTAATTACCTTAATAGGCTGTCTTTCAGAATTTATCCCTGGTGACTTAGGGAAGGTACGGCCGATCCGCTGGCAGATGGAGACCACCAGCTGCTCCGTGTGGAGCCTTTCCAGCTGGTCCCACAGGGATGTGTGAGCCGGCCCCGGTCAGAGGTTCCATCCCAGCTCAGGGGGTCAGATCCTTTTTGGGGCCGGTGCTGAGTGGGGGTAGTGAGCTCTGAGCCCAGCCTGTCTGCAGTTACTCCCAGCTCTGCAGGCACCATTCCTGTTTCCCTGTTTCTGGTGGGACAGGCTGTGGATAACTGGCTGGTTTAACCCCACGCTTGGTGTTCTGCTCATTATGACAACAGCCAAATAGAACCTGTATTTATAGATATTAAAAAATGGAGGGTCTCGATGGCACTGAGGATGGGATGAAATTTCCAAGGAGCTGCTCCCTCTTTTTGTGGCTAGGAAGCTTCCTAAACTGATGGGCCCAGCTGCTGCTCGCCCTAAGATCTGGAAGGTTTGAGTGTAGGAGTTTGGTGTGTGAGCTTCACAAGAGGCTTTAAAACAAACATGTTTTACTGAACCCATCATGTGCCACCAGCTGGGTGCTGGGAAGCGGGAACCCGTTAGCCTGTAATGGAACAGCCCCTGTGGCATTTCTAGGCACGTGGATTCATGGAGCCACTGTGCCTTGGTTTTTGGATATTTGTCTTTTCTGCTGCACCTCAGTGATGCCATCTCCGAGTTCCATCCTCTGCTCACTCCCTGGTTTTACCCTTGTGAGTTTGGGGGAAGGTTGTTGTCTGAATAGAACAGTGGGGATGCTTTGAAAAAAAAAAAAATCTAATGTAGGCTTCATAATGCAGAAATCAAATTGCATGTCCAGACAGGAACAAATATGTTCCAGAAATCACAGAACCATGGAATGGTTTGCATTGGAAGGGATTTGAAAGAGCATGTCATTCCAACCCCTGCCATGGGCAGGGACACCTTCCACTAGCCCAGGTTGCTGCAAGCCTGGTCCAGGCTAGCTTGTGTGCTTCCAGGGGTGGGGCAGCCACAGCTTCTCTGGGCAGCCTGTGCCAGGGCCTCCCCACCCTCACAGGGAAGAATTTCTTCCCAATATCCAACCTAAACCTACTCTCTTTCAGCTTACAGTCATTACCCCTTGTCCTATCACTATCTACACGTGTAAAAGTCCTTGGATTGCTCTTGCTTTCTCCCTCTGTTGGGCTGCCATTCAGATTCCTTTCCCTTTCATTCACGAAAAGTTATTTTTATGTCTGTTCTTGTTTGAAGTCAATGCCTCGGTAATGGGGAGTGATTGGGATTTGGACGCGTCTCCAAAAATAGAGCTCTGCATCTCCTTTCAAGATTTCCTTTGGTGACGGTTGGGGGTGGCCTCTATGGAAATATGTAAAAATAACTCCGTGGGTTAAAAATACCGTGGGGAGCTGCCGGCTCCAGCAGCTCCTGGGAGCTGGAAAGCTCTGGAATGGGCTGTACAGCCACCAGGTGAACCTGCTGAGGAGAGAATACGTCCTCCTCAAGCCTGCTGGGCTGGTGGCTGTGCAAAGATCGTTCCACAAAGAGCCTGACCCGAGGGATTCCAGATGGGAGGAAGAGGGATTCCAGATGGGAGGAACGAGGGCTTCTTTGTGTTCCACCCTTATCTCTCTGCAGATAAGCAAACATATTGTGCACAAATAACAGCAGTGTGTTATCACCCCTGTCTCTGACCTGTAGGAGTTATACTAAAATGCAAGATCCTTCTTTCAGATCCTTCTTTCAGTTGGTAATGCTGGAGCGTGCCCAGGGGAAGGGGCTGGAGCAGCAGGAGCTGCTGAGGGAGCTGGGGGGGCTCAGCCTGGAGAAAAGGAGGCTCAGG